TCTCAACCTGTGACCCGGCCTCGTTCCCTGCCCGCACCCTTCGCCCCAGCCCCACTCTAACGCCCAAAGGCACCACACGTCCTGAGCTGCGATTCCCTCACTTCCATCCTCTGATCACTCACTCTACCTGCTCGGCCCCCTTCTCCCATGCCAACTTCACTTCCGAAACGCTCCGCTCCCCTGGTGAGCTAGCTCAATGCAATCCTGCTCACCCTCAATGTTTAAGGCCTGATCATGACACGGAGGCTCACATATTAGTGCTGAGAACTGCCCGGCACTTAGTCACTGTTTGGTAAATGGCAGTTTTCTTTATTTATTTAACAAATCATTCTCCTTCAAGGACAAGGAAAACTGCCTCCTCCTTCATGGCATTTTAGCGTCCCCTTCACACAGCATCACCAGATACGTCTGATCCTCAGACCTCCGCCTACTCATCCCGCCCCTCTCCGGTGCACTGAGACCGAAGGAGGGCCGGGAGGAGGGGCCACGGGACGCCGGCCTACGTCGTGCCCAGTACAGTCACAGCGGGACTGACTCCTAACAGAACACGAGTGTCCAAGCGGGCAGCTCTGCTCCTCTCCTCTCTCTGCGGCCTTTCCCACGTGCAGTTCCAGCTCCAGTTCCAGCTGGGTTTCCTAGCACCGTGGACACGCTGTTTAGCACAACTGGAGCTCACAGTCCTGGTTCTAGTTCCTCATCTTCCATCTAACATTTCACAGCAGCAGGCTCGGGAGTCCCTCAGCGATGGCACTGCGAATACCACTGAGTCTCTGCTCTCAGCCCTCACGCAGCACCCTTGGCTGACCGGTCACAGCAAGCACCAGGGAACATGCAACATCGGTTAAAGACTTTCATCCAAAGGCATCAAGATCAAAAGCTTCCGTGTTACGCGTTGGGAACCTAATCTGTTTTCCGAGTCCCGCCTTTTAGTCTGTCCCAGGCACTGCTGCCCCAGGACTCGTGCATGCATGTGTGCAGCGCGCCAGCCCTGGGGTTCCTGGCATCTCGGGCGGATGTACGTGATCATTCCTGACTAGATCACCTTTGGTATGGTTATCTTCCCCTGCTCACTTTCTCTGCATTCACTCTGCTCTTCCCACCTCTTCCCTTTTGCCCAAACTGCCTACACCCTTCTTTCTGTTTCTTTCTCTCTGCCTCTGAGAAGACAGCATCACAAGCTCTTGATTTGCTACAGGGAAAGCAGAGGTGAGCCAGGTTCCTGAACAGGATGGCCTCAGGGTCAAGGCCTAGCCAGGGGCAGGTCCAGGGCTAAGGTCCTGCATGACCTGAGGCCAAGCACAGAGGTGGGACACAGTCAGGATGAGATGCAGGAGGGAGAGCTAAGTTCTAGAAGATACGGTGCCCACTGCATAGGTACACAGAGGTGTGCTGTACTAGCAACTTTCTAGTCTAAGACACAACATCGCCAAGACATTCCCTGAGGCTCATGTAAAGAAAAGCACTCAGGACTGATGGGAACAGAAAGTGGTCTACACACAGGGGATCTGAGTGTGCTCACCAGCCCCTGTGTGTGTGTGTGTGTGAGTGAGAGAGAGAGAGAGAGAGAGGCCGGCAGTGGCTAGGACGCATGACCTGCGTGTGGCACAGAGAAAATGCCCAGGGCTTCTCGGGTTTCATGTCCCCTAACCCTTGGATTATAGTCTAACTAGGCCAGGGTGGCCCGAGGATATGCAGTTCTTTCTGGCTCTGAGCCTAGAAGGTTCCCACACTCCCCACAGCATCTGACCAAGAGGGCAGATGTCTTGTGACCCAAGTATTCTCAAAGTGGGTAAATCCCGAGATAATGGCAGCCCTGCTCTAGGGAAAGAGGTTTACAGTAAAATATATGTGCACATAGATATGTAAGAGAACCACAGGCAATCCTTCATCGTAAACGACTCTGGCCAACCTGAGTGACGAGCGTAAGGCGTGCTTACCATCCTTCCAGAGCTCGGCCACAAATCTGTCCGAGGACTGGTGCAGCAGCGTGGCCACGTTGTCGTTCAGGGGGTCCATGTTCTTCATCAGCCACTCGTCCGCCTTGTAGTCCACCTGGCCCGCCCGGAGCCGAACGAGGCGAGACGGAAAAACAAACAAAACCCAGAAACAGTTAGCCTTACCCACAGACGTTCACAGAGCAACCTAAGAAGAGGATTGTCTTAAAGGCCCTCAATTGCAATGCACACTATATTTAGGGATTTACAAATGTTTATCAGCACCTTTCTTATAAACTCCATCACATGAAGCAAAGTTTCAAACAGTACTTTTACCAGGTAATCCAGTTCTCCAGCGCTTACCTTCCCTGCGTAGTGTATGATGCAAAAGTCAGCTTTGTCTTTCAGCTGCCGGGGTTTCTGGAACTTGGAGTGGGAACCTTGCTCTTGAACTAGTTTTTCAACAAAGGTTTTATCTGTGGCTTTCGGGAACCAGCACTCCTCATCCAAAAGGGCAAGCACACCGGGAGGGTTGGCCTGATGATGAGAGGCAACGAGAATGCTGAGTTTGCATGTAATCCCATCGGGTCTGATCCAGACCACGGACACCAACTGCTGAGATAGGAGGCCATGTCCAGACCAACCCTAGGCCCCAAGCACCCGGGTCTCCGAGTGCTAAGTAAGTACAGGGGAGACAGTGGGTGAGTCACTTTCTCATAAACACACACGTGTAAACTGTAGGTAAACGAATTCCAAGCAGATAGTCCCCCAAATGCAGCAAATAAGACACCACAAAGGAGCGAGGAGGTGGAGAGATGAAACTGGATGTTCATAGTCAGTGACTGGATGGATAAGTTATTCAAAACCCCCACTAGGTGGAATGCTTCAGACATTTTATATCCTAATCCATTTTTCTGGTTAAGTAACGATGAAATAAAATGTACTGCTTCACACTTGGTGAAATATTTTAAACTATTAAGTAGAGTAGAGATGGAAGGTGATGAAATAATTTATCAGTTACTTTATATATTTGTTTCAATAAACATGTGAGAGGCTATTTTATTTCACACAACTAATTTCCTGAAAAAAGACATAGAAACATAAAGTAGGTTAGTGTGGCCAGGGACTGGGGGAGGGGAGCAGGGAGCACCTGCTAACGGGAGGGAGTTTCTTTCAGGGATTATGAACAGGTGGAATCAGACAATGGTAATGGCTACACAACTTTGTGAATATACTGAAACCCACTAAACTGTATACTTTATTATGATTATTTATTTATTTAATTGTTTAAGGTATTACAAATAGTAGTATATATGTCTCCCCCCCCACCCCGCCCCCCTGACCTTCCCATGGCCTCCCCTACCCCCTGGCACTTGCCCTCATCCCCTTGCCCCCAGTGTCTTGTGTCTATTGGTGTGCTTATATGCGTGCCTACAAGTCCTTCGGTTGATCTCTGATCCCACCCCCCCCTCCCCTACCTTCCCGCTATAGTTTGACAGTCTGTTCGATGCTTCTTTGCCTCTATTTTTGTTCAATAGTTTGTAATGTTCCTTATTATCCATAAATGAGTGTAAAGAATTGTATACTTTTAAAAGAGTGAGTTTTAGGGTCTGTGCCTACAACTTGCCATTCTCTGGGAGCTCAAAATTCAGTGGCCTGACTTCTTTCTTGGAGGAAGGTGGGGTTCTCAGTGGTCTATTTTATAGCTTCTGGATCAGCATTCATTGCCACTCTGCAAATACAGCAACTTGTGATACAAGACTGAATGCCTCAATTCCAGGGCCTATCAGTTTCCTGAATAAATCTCTAGGATCAGTTTTCTTCAACTCACAAGGCCTTTCTATTTACTCGGGAAGAGAAGGCTGTGTACAAATATTGCTTAAAGAGGAACTAGAGGCTACAGTTAAATGTGAGTGAAATGCTGTAATAACAGGGACAGGGGCAGGTGGCAGCAGAAGCTGAGACTCCTCTGCAGTGAGCCCAGACTGAGCCCTCCCTCCATGCTGCTAAGCCCTCGTCCTCTCCCTGAAAGAACTACATGAAAGAACTTTCCGAGCAGCTAAAAAAAGACTGTGATCAAAGAGATCGGGATCTCTAACTTCTGAAATAGGATCCCGAATATAATGTAATCTTTTCTAAATGACTCAGTGACAGCATAATTATGAATATCCGTTATGGTGTCTCCTTGTTATTTTTCCCGCGTCATCCTTCAACGTCAAGTTCACTGTTAGCACTTCTTTTAATTGGAGCTGTAAGTATGAGAGACCATTTCCTGCCTAAGGCCAGAGGCACTCTCAAAGGTTTGTAAGTAGCTTTCTGAACTTAGAGGCTCACCCACTGCCCTCTACCCCCCCAACCACCCCCGCCGGGTGGGGCTGGGTTTGTGAAAGGAGGCAAAGACTGGCCCTAGCTTTCGAGGTATTTATTTTCCTTCTGGAAAATGTTCTCACTCTTCATTTTGAAAGAACCATCAATAGCATCATTATCCCATATTGTACAGGCCATAGTTAAGTTTCCTACTGTTATAAGATCTTTGTGTTTCTATGGATAAGTGGAAAAAGGTAATCCTAAAGAACAATGGACTTAAAGAGTGAGTCAGCATTCAATCCCAAACTCCCTCCTTCCCCTTTCTGAGCCGCCTCTCCTTTAAGTTGGGACCAGTCAGGCAAGAAATAAAACGGTACATTCTAAAGTCTTTTGGGGAAGAGCCTAGAGATGCCAGTACAAAAAGTAAGGAGGAAAGAGGAAGGAGGAAGGAGGAAGGAAGGAAGGGGTAGAGGGAGGGAGCAGGAAAGGAGTGAGGAAAAAAGGAAGAATTCATTCTGCTCACTGTCCTTAAGTATCTAGACAAAGCTGGCATATCCTCCCCATGCCAATAGCTTCTGAACACCCTGACTGGACAATTTTCCTAAAATCCCACTATCCTCCCAATTTCTGGAATGTGGCCCTTGGAACGCTCTCCCACTGCCCTCCTGGTCTCCAAATTCAGAGCGTCACTGACCAGGAACCACTACCCAGGGAACTACCACCATGTTCTGTTCTGTTCTGTTCTCTGGCTTTAAGATCAGGTCCCCTAGGACCAGGGCCATGCCATCTACTCCCCACAACCCCACAGCACCCCAATCTTCTTATTTCCAGGCTGTAATAGAGGAGTTAATAAAATTTTGTGGCCTTGATCTTATCCTAATCTAATAATAGTCAACAAAACAACTGAAAGTGCAGATACATAGTTAATACTTTCTTAACACATAAAGCTTCCAGTGTTACAGATACACATAAGCGAGCATCTCAAATCATATGATTGCTGATAATATCAATATTAAATGTTCGATTCCCTTATTTATATAAATTCCCAAACAATTTTTTGGGCAACAAAACTGTAAGGAAATAGAGTCACACGTCTGTGTGGAGACTGGAAGTTACTATGAGTAATGCCTTCGATGTTACTCCTAAACAATGCTGCAGGGTACACAGAGCAGAGTCCTCCCAAGTGCAGTAATTTGAGAATTGGGCCCCAAACAAGCGGCTGCAGTGCCTTGAAAGGTAAAATGATCTCTCATGTATGAGCCAAGGAAAACGATGTTCCTTCCCTTAAACCCAAACTTCTAATGCTCGACAAGTACGTCTCTAACAGGGTGCGGTCCTCTAGGCTCCTGTTCCTCGTTTGGAACCAGGTACTGAGCATCCAGGCTGAGGCACTGGTCCTCCAACCCCTCAAACACGGGAACACGGGTGCAGACTGAGTAGCACAAGAACTGCTCCACAGCCTAGAGCGCCTCACAGAACACACCTCGTGGGAACACACCTACTGAACCAGCTTAGACCTTGACCTAAATGACTGGTATCGGTGCTTAATTGCGCTTTAGTTTTCCTAGGTTTTGGTAGTTAGCAAAGTAAAATAAGCAAAGCCACTACCTTGCTGTAGCTTCCAGGGAATACACAGCCCGATCATCAACATTCATTTGGGATCATACAGTTCCATTCGAGAATTATACATGTTCCATGTATTTCTACATGATACCGAACCAAAAGAAAATGGTCTAAGATTGCTATAAAAATATACCTGCGTCAACCTTAAAAATAAAAACTTCTAATTAAAAACATCTGTCAGAATAAAAACATCCTTGTACTTATCAGGATAAACTTTAGTTATCTGAAAAATAGATTTACACGCCATGTCTTAGTTTTGGCCAAATGAAGTCCCTGTATTGCCTAGGAGGCGAGTCAGGTGGAGCCCTCCACCCTCCCGAGGTGCAGAGGGTTGGAGGTAAACGTGACTGCCACCACCATCGTGGCACCTGCAGTCTGGGAAGACCGGGTACGTGAGCCAAAGAGGGGTCTGAATGGCATGCTACTTACTTTTTCAATAGGTACTTTATCACAGTATCCCCTTCCTAGAACATTTAGGTTAGAAAATTAACACTGAGCAGACAGGATACTTCACATGGATCAGATTAAGCCAAGAAAAACTCAAGGCACCGCCCGCAGCAGCTCTGACAGCCAACGGCAGGGAAACACTCACCGGCCTCTCTATCAGGTCGATGCACGGCTGCAGGTCGAGCCCGAAGTCGATGAAGTTCCACTCGATGCCCTCGCGCTGGTACTCCTCCTGCTCCAGGATGAACATGGTGTGGTTGAACAGCTGCTGCAGCTTCTCGTTCGTGTAGTTGATGCACAGCTGCTCGAAGGAGTTCAGCTGCCAAGGTTGAAAGAACGGGTTTCCAAACATGGGGAGGGGACAGAAAAGCAGAAATAGTCATCTAGTTATCAAACAATTCATTAAAGGTCAATTAGGTGTCAACTATGTTACTGCTTGTAGCTGATGATAGCGACTGAACCGAGGGGGTCTCTCTCCATCTCTCTCTCTCACACACACACACATACACACACACTACATATATATACATTACTGAACTGCTACAATGAGAAAATAATAAACTCAGTATGCTAACTGCATAATCTACAAATAAAACAAAGCTTATTAGTGAATGGTTAATGAGTATAAATTATGAAATAAATGAGAAAGAGAAGAAGAAAAACAAAGAGACGTGAGAAGGCAAAGGAAAGCAAGCACCACTCCGTAAGCTCTGAGGGGTCTAGAGAATGGACGTGGTGCGGTCCCATCTACTCTTCACTCAGCTGCCAGCTCAGAGGGAGCTCAGAAAGAACTAATGTGTACTTCACAGGGATGTTGTTGAGATCCTAGCCAGGCCTGACAAGCAAAATGCACTCAACCCAGTGTGAGGCTCCAGGCTGCTTCCCTAGGAATCCCTTATCAAGTGTCTGACCTTCGCCAATACTAAGAGTGACACTGCATTGCTCTCAGGAAGTGAACTTGAGCATCTTTGCATAAGTTACAGACATTTGTTTCCTTCTCTGCGATCTCTGCCTGTTTTTCTATTTTGCTGTTGATGGGATGAATGACCAAA